ACTTTGAAGAACTCCAAAATAATAACTACGTAGCTCTTGTAAATAAAAAATTATTTTGGTTCAAAGCTTACACAGAATCATAGTCAAGTTTGAGTCCACATATTCATTTTCCTAAATGAAAAAGAAAAAAAAATATGGAAAACTAAGAAAAATGCTATGATGTGAAGATATTCAAAGTGGAATACCCAGCAATACACGGGATATACATATAATATATGGTTTGGAAATTATGGTGGTAGATGGCATTACATGATAATGACACTGTGAGGCAGGTCTTCACGAATTGGGGTTGTTGATATCTATTGCCCTAAGAGAAAGCAGAAGGAAGCATAATGCGGCAACTGAGCAACTTCATATGTTTTGCATTAATCTATTTTAAGAGGAAGAAAAAACATGGGTTCATGTACTCGATGGAGTGGAACAGTTTTAGTGCTTGGGAATTTACCCTTTATTTTTTTCTTTTATGTTGCCCTTTTGTGAAGAAAAAACATGAGCAACTAATCTGGATTGACTCGGATCGTACATCTAGCTGTGATGGAATATACCTTTTCTCGTTGGTTTAAATAATGAATATGATCATACGAGGGTTTCAAGTGCTTGGCAATATACCTTTCCCTCAGTGGTTGTTCCAAAATATATTTTTCAGGGTGGACATATATGTTAATAACATAATTTTTTTTAATGGGACAGGTACAAATAAAATTTTATGGTGGACACTGTCCATAAAATAAGTATCTAATCGGAAAACAAAAACTCAGATTTCAGGATGGACACGAAAAATTTCAGGTTGAGCACCATTAATAAAATAAATAACTAATTGAAGAAAATTCAGATTTCGGGATGAGCACGTGCCCATCCTGACCAAGCCATGGCTCCACCATTGCTTTCCCTCACCTGTGGAAGCGATCATTGAGGGATAGATTAGGTCAACCGTTCGTATAACGTTCATTTATGTTCGTTTATTAAACGATTGTATACAAAAATTTTATGTTCATTCACTAAACAAACGAATATGAACATGTGTATGTTTAGTTCGTTTATATTCACGAACGAGTTCGTCTATCGGCTTGTTTACTCTGTCTCGTTTCTTCATATTTTAAATATTGGTCAAGATATGAATTAAATTGAACATGAGATGAATTTTGGAGTTCAAACTTTGATGTTTAAGGAAAGTAAAGACTAATGGTGTAATTTCACCGTTTTTCCAATTGCTTGCAATGGTAAAAGAAAGTGGTGGTTACCGAACATTAAACGGACGTTAAATGAACGCATTCGTCAACACTAACTGAATAAAGATGAACAATTACAAAAATAAATAAATGATCATAAACGTAACGCTAAAAATTTAAACGAGTATAAACACCTTCAAATATATGTATACTCAAAAAGAAGTTTGGGGTCCTCCCCTTTCCAAGCAGACCGCTCAGTGACAAGGGAAAGGGCACTCACGCTACTTGCGAGTTCTATTCCTCCCAATGCCAATGCCACCAATTTTTTTATATTTTCTTTCGTTTTAATATAATAGAATTGGTAAATTATCATACAAGTCCCTAAAGAATCTTAAGGTTCATATATTAGGCTTCTAGCTTTAATCATATTCATTATAATCCTCAATTCTAGAAAATCTTTTAATAATACCATAGTTCTAAATATTTGTTCCATTCAATCTCAAATTTTAAAATTTTTAATTTCAATTTAATTAGTCAAACTATGAGATCAAATTTTGTGGTGTTACATAATTTATCAATCCCATATTGTAATTTGAACAATAATATTTTTATCCATACCAACACTAAAACTCTAAACATGATACATGCAATCATAATATATAAAACCATACAAATAAAATTTAAAATAATTAATGTTTAACTAGAGTTCAAATCAAATGTTTCGTATTGATACTTCAAACTAATAATAACATGAAACTTTAAAATAAACCCTAAACCCTAAACTAATAATAACTAAATATGATTTTTTTTAACCACAGATATGAATTTTTTTTAAATAATTTACAGCATATAATATAATATAAAGATGAGATATAATATAATATAAAGATGAGATATAATACAATATAAAAATCGACATGATGAGATATTTATACCACTTGAAAGAATTAAAATAAATATAATATAATATAATCATATTATTATAACAGAAATAAAGCATGCTACTCCGTCAATTAGAGCATATGAAGATGATGCAGCAAGAAAAAGAATCTATAGAGGAAAGTGATGACAGAGAGTGAAGAAGACAAGTAATTCTGTGTGGAAGGAAGAACAAACGAGTTTATCCAGGTGGCTCATTTATGCAGCACTGAATGCATTGAATGTGGCTTAAAGAGTGCACACAAACCCTTCCAAATTGTGCTGTAACTCCAACAGACAGGAACGCCAACCACGGCAGAGAGAAACAAAATGAAGCCAAGTTAAATTATTCGCGTCATTCTATCGTAGTCACTCAACTATTTTTTTCAAAAACATCATTAATATTACGTTTTGATTTCATTTTAGTCACTCATTGTTAAAAAAATTTGAGATGATGTTATTGATGTCTCATCATAAAGTAATGTTACATCATCATTGGAAAAAAGTGTCACATCAACATTTCTATTAATTTTTAAACTATGGATGATTAAAATAAAACTAAAATATAACGTCAGTGATGATTTTAGAAAAAATTATTAGATGACTAAAATAAAACCACTTGAATAATTGAGTGACTAAATATATAATTTACATTTAAATAAAAGAGAGACTTTGACCTAAGACGTACATGCCTTAGCAACATTATAGCCCCGGTTATTCAAGCAGATCAGCACTCAAGGTTAGTCCAACAAATCCAAACCTGGCTGCAACAATATTTCAACAGAGTAACCTAGTTGGTCAGCCCATAACCACCTAAGAAACAAGATTAACAGACTTAATCAAATTTATATAATAACGATACTCATTAATTACACATTCAATTCTCTTCCTTCTTAACCTTGAGGTCGTGGGATCGAGTCTCACGGAGGGCATTTCATAATTCGGAGGTCTCTTACGGAAGCTGCTCTCAATCTGGTGTTGAGGGTAGCCTACTATCTTACCTCCCCTTACCCCATATATATGGGAAAAAGGGACAACCATTAATTACACATTCAATTCTCTTCCTTCTTCTAAACTCCCTTTTCCCCTCCCCTCTAAATAAGATTAGAATTAGGTGTAGGATTTGTCAAAATAATAATAATTTGATTTTAATTAAAAATAATTAAATAAATGCAATCTTTTTAATAAGATATGTGTGAGATTCAAACTTGGGACTTGATTCATATAAGGACAAATCTTAACCGTTGAACCAATTTAAAATTTTGATTTATGTTTGACCAAAATTATATTTAGGATAAACTTTACTTGATGCAATATATTTTCTAATATATATATTCTAAAATAAAATGGATTTAAGGGATCCAAAATTATGATCTCAAGTATACCTACGAAACACTAAACTTGTTTCATGGTTAATAAAAAACTATGTTTAAGTTATACTATGTTCCAGGTAAAGTTTTTATATTTTCAAATTAAATTTAAGTATTTTTAGTTCCTTTTTTTAAAATAGTCTAAGGGTGTTTACAAGATAATATTTATTCTGAATATTTATTTAGTCATTGACAATACACAAATATCCGCATACATGGCTGTTTGAACCCATAATCTCTAAGAAGAATAACACTCTATTTAACCATTGAAACCACTAAAAGGGTTGAGTTCTCTTTTTATTTTTATAATTACATATATACAATCATTGATTTAAAACTTAATTAATATTTTTAAATTTTATACCTGTACATAAATATCTTCTATATATGTAATCGAAGTATATTTTATTAAAAAAATTAAAAATTAATCTAAATTTTTTTAAAAAACTAAAAATTAAAAAGTTTATATGTGTTAATTTATTAATTTATTTTTAATTAAAATTAAAATTAAACCGATAAAATAAACTATTAATAAGAAATAAATGTATTATATAAATTTACTCAATTTTCGTATAAATAATTTATTAACAATCAACAATAATCTAATTAACCAATAACTAGTTGGTCTAGTAGAATAAGACACTAGATTCTTTAAGTAAGGTCAGAGGTTCAAATCCTGACGTTTGTGAATGAATCGAACTGGACTTGGAAGGTTACCTTTGCTTCTGTAGTATTAGATTAAGATTAATTAATCAATAGATCGAATATTGATGATTATATAAAAAAATAACCATCTAATTAATAAAAATCTTATTCTATACTAAAAGGATTAACTATAATCTAATGATTATAGAGGTAATTTACCCTATAAAATATTTGTAGCGTACTAGCATAGCGCGTGTGGTATTTTAACTGTAATAATCCTGAAGAGATTGACTTGGGCAATTGGATTTTGTTTAAAATCCAAATAAACATTTAATTATTATAAAAAAAAAGGCCCAAACTCCAACAACAGTGCTCTGTTTTCTCAGATTTAGAAAGAAGGGAAAAAAACGTTGATTTTACCGAGAAATATTCCCTTCCTGCGTACAGACAAATTATTATTATTATTATTATTTTTAGGTTAGGGTTTATTAATTTAGAGTCAGATCATATATAAGATTTAATTGAGATTTCATCAATATAAAATTATGACATACATAAGATTTAATTGAGATTTAGGTAAAAAATTACAAATTACTCACCAAGAATGACGATGATAGAATTCAAATTTGACATTACAAACTTAAATTCTTTAATTTTAATCACTTGTGATAACACTTGTTGGTACGTAAAGATAAATTATTATAATAAAATAAATAAATAAATTATGGATCACGACTCTTTTATTTAATTTAAAACATTGGAACAGTTTTGTTTTATTTTTCACACCAGAAATTTAATTAATAATTAGGTAGGAAATTGCATGAAAATATTAGCAAAGAAAGGTAGACAAAGGGAAGACAAAAGGACGAGACTTCCCTCCCTCGATTTATTATCTTCTTTCTTTCTTCGTATTCTTCCGTATTTAATTAAAAAAAACATCTAAATTCTAAATTCAACAAAACCCAAATCTGCTGAGGAAAAAAATACCATTTCTTGCTCGCTTTCTTATTTTGGAGTTCTGGGTTTGAAAATAAAGGATTGATTTATCTCTGTTTTCAGTTAATGGAGAAGGAGGTAGGTTCAGCAGCAGCAGCTTTGGAAGGGTTTTCACCAGTCTCTACAACTAGAATTTCATGGAATTCCAGGAAGAGATCTGGTAATGTTTGATTCACTTCCCTTCTCTGTTTGTTTTGCATGATTTCTCCTCATAATTCATTCATCTTTTTTGGAATTTTTACTCTGAATTAGGGGAACGTGATTTATTTTCGACTAAATTCATTTAAAACGATTGATTAATCGAATTGGGGACATTAAAATTCCCAGTGTTTTTGTTTATGAGTGATGATTAATTTGCTGCTACGTTAATTTACCTAGTTTTCTTAAACTGGTTGTTTTGCTTGCACCATCATTTTGATTCTCCTTTAATCAAGAAACTCCAATTTCAGCTGTTCACTTCTTCAAACAAAAATAAATGAAAAAAAATAACTTTTAAGATTTAATTTCATGTATTATGCCATAAATAAATATAAAATCTTCACACATATTTAGACAGATATAGCTTTTGTTTGTATGGGTCCTAGACTCCACACAAATTTGATCTTACTCCACGCCGAAATCTTCATCTGACTTTATTTATTTATATATATATATATATATAACAAGACGTGGAGTATGAAGACAATTGTTTATTTTTATTTTTTGGGTATTTTTAATTAGTATAAAAGGCCTCATTTTTTGGTAATGAGTGCAGAACGACTGTTCACATCATAGGGATGGAAGCCTCCTGTTATTTCAAGCACATGTTCTATGTTATGAAAATACAAATAAAATATATATACTTGTCCAGGGTCTACGGATTTACATGTGTTAGTGTATCGGTAATTTTGAAAATTTTAAATTCTCGTATATTTTAAATATTTTTTATTAATATCTAATTTTGCATTCCTAATATTTAATAATTTTGTTTTTTAATTTTTAATATAAAATTTTAAGTGTATACATTTTTACATTATATATATATATATATTAGATATGAGTATATTACTTGATGTTCAACTTTATCTATGGTTTTCATATATATTTGGAGTTTTCTGATGTCATATTGTCATCAAATACATAATTTAGATTTTTTTTTTTGTATTTTTAATTGATTATATGCTTTCGTTTTTAAAATTTTATAATTTTCTTACTTTTATCTTTAATATAAAATCTTATATCCAGCCCTGATTGCATATTGGTTTTTGAATATATGAGGACTTTGATGTGAGCACATATACTTGAAAGAAAAAGAAAGAAGAGTAAGATGGACATAGCGATAGACAAACTGTTGTTAGCTTCTTCACTCTGTCTTCACAAATCACAATCAGTGAAAGTCTGTTTTAGAAGAACAAGTGAGCTTAAAGAAGCTTGGAACTTAACAACAAATGATGTTTTAATGAGTTCATGTTTAGTTTAGAAATGCTTCTAAAATCAGTTGGAACTAGAATGTTTTAACTTCTCTCCGACAGCTAGCGGGAGGAATTTAGACAAGGTAACACAAGAGACTGCTAATGTGACACCCACCAAACAGGAAGAACACACTCTTGATCAAGACAATGCACCGGATCCTGTGACGGCTTCCGAACTTTCTGAGCGCCGGAAAGCTCTGTTTGAACCCCTGGAACCTATAAAAAATGTCAATGGCTGGCGACCGTCAGCTGAATCTTTGCTTCCCCCACCGGACTTCAATGCTGCAAGCTATCCAAAGGGCTGGCTGATCGGAAAGAAGAGGAAGCTGGTAAATGTTGATGTTGTCGAGAGCATGCGAAGGATTGCAGTCCAGGAAATGAACAGAAAGGTAAGGATAATTTATAGGTCTATGGGATAGTCATTATGCACACATAGTTACATACAGTCACAATATACGGGAAAGCAAAATTGATGGGTTGAATTTTGAAAGGTCTTTTGCTCATCTCTCTTCTACTTCTTAGATCAGTCAATAGATTAACTTCGAGTACTTCAGAAAAGAAGAGTCTGTATGGCATCTTGATTATAGAGTCTGCAACTGAAATGGTAGAAAGGTCTGCGGGATTATTACTAGAGACAGTTGGAAATAATTGGGATGGTTGAAATTTGTACTATTCAGAATTTTTCTTAAGTCTATGATAACATACATTGTAAATGCAGCTGCTCAAATACGAGAATAACATTCTCTTCTACTAATTAGACGACTTAATAGGTTAGATTCAATAGTTTAGATTCGAGTATTTCGAAAGAAAGAAGGGTCCGTTTGGCACCTTGATTTAGAGTCAGCAACTGATATAGTAGGAAGGTCTATAGGATCATTACCAAAGACGATACAAAATAACTGGAAATGGTTGAAATTTGCAGGATAGGGAAATAGATGGTTGAACGAGCAGTTGGAAGAAGATCTCGATGCTTAGAGCATCTACACTTCAGCTGCTACAAGAGAAAAGTAAAAGGTCAGAGGTCGAGAGAGAAACGCAATGCTACAAGAACAGGTATCCATGCTGATGACATGTTGCAGCAAGGAGAGAAGGTCCGGATCATGATGAACCTTGAAGAAAAATTCATTGGAGAATTGTAGTTTGTCTGCTGGTATAATTCTTTGCTCGTAGGTTTGTTTGCAAATAGTAGAAGAGCATGCCGGATTCGGCATGCGATGTATACAGTGGCGACCTACCTAGGTAGAAATGATTAAGTTTGTTTGGCGTGTATTTGTTTGTTGAGTAGCTTTCTTATGCTTTCAAAGTTGTAAGTCAGTTATTCTCACTTAAATCTTGATGCCAAATTACATTAAATAATTGTTCATCTGTTAGTAGCAAAGAAGATAGTTTTTGGAGCTTCTCGATCATCAAGTGGCAAAACGATAAGTTTCGTCACCATCATCGTGTTTACTTGAGGAGAGCTTAGTAGCTTTCACATGGTATATCTCTTATTTGTTGGAGATTAAGGTAGTGCATTGTAAACTTTGAAATGTCTTTTGTAATATATAAATTTAATGTTTGGGTGTCATTAGCATGCCTTGAATTTTTCATATTTTCTTGATGTTAAATGACATTTTATTTCTTACTTTCTTGATGTTAAATGACATTTTTTGTGTTATATGTAAGGATGGCAAAGGTCGGATCTGGATCGATCCTGTTAGACTCAGATCTAGATCCATTTTCACATCCTGGATCCAGACTTGCCCCAATCTGCGGTCTAGAAAATTGGGACCTAGATTAGATCCAACGGATCTCACAAATCTGGGTCCAAAACTGGTCTGTTAAAAAAAAAGATCATTCACCTATTTTTTTTAACGTAATAAATCTGTCATTGATTAATTTCACGTTGTAACCACCATTTTTTCATTTTATTATTTATAATTTATGTAAAAAAATTAAAATGTAAGAGTTGGGGTTATTAATATCCCAACCAACCCTTGTACAATGTCTCCTCCTTTTCCCCGAAAATCTTGGAATGAAAGATTTTTTTTCTTTGTTTCTCCTCTTCATTTGAGATTTCCCCCCTTTCTTACGTTTTTTGTTTTTGGTTTCGGGGTTCATTGGTTGCATAAGTGTGGCCACCATTGAGCAGTGGTCGGCGTGAGAGAGAGGCCATCTCACAGCCAGGAATCGTCGGCTGTTGGTGGTCGGAGGTGAGCGTATGGGATCTTTGGTGGGGCCTTGGTCGAAAGCAAGGAGAGGGGAGAATAGTTTGGGTCACTTAGACCCTTAGGTGGCTTTCTTCGGTCGGTTCGGACATCGGTCGGAGTTCGAGTGTTTGCCATTGAATGGCCAAGGCATAGTGGCCGGCGTTGAGGCTCGTTTCTTAGCCTTCCCGGCCGTCGAATGGGGAGGAGAAAGAACGAGATTAGGAGGAGAACGAGGAGAGCTTCGGTCGTTCAAGGAGTTGGATGGTCCTCCATTCATGGTCGAGGTCACTGGTTGGTTTAGGGTGGTCACCGGCCCATTTTTCGGTGTGTGAGGGTCGGTGTACGGCGGCCAAAGATGCGTTTGAAGCTTGGTAAGCTTCTCGGCAGACTTACGTAAATTGGGGAATAGTTTAACGTTTAGGTCCTCATACTTTAGGTACAAATTTACATTTTAGTCACAAGTTTTAGGGTCAAATCTCAGTCCAGGTACCCCTATCTTTACCGTGTTTTTGCATTTTGGTCATTGTACATTTCTTTTCTAATTTATTACAGTTTTATCATTTTGTTTTATTTTATTTTAATTTAGTTACTATTATTATTCTGATTTTTTCGAATTTAGTCACTGATTTTACATTTATTCATTTTTAGCCACTGATTGGATTATGCTTCTTATGTTATTATGATTTGGATGTGATATTTGAAATTTATTCATTTTAGTCACTTTTTAATTTCCGATTTAGCTACTATTATTTTAATTATTGTATTTTGGTCCCTATTTATTTCTTATTTAACTACTAACTTTTATTTTCTTGTATTTTAGTCATTATTATTTTATTTTATGCAATTAGGTCCTTGTATTTAGGTCTATTTTATTTTTTTATTTTATGTTATTTTTCCTATTTTTCCTATTTTTTATTGTTTTTATTAAGTTTACTAATTGTTTCATATTTCTTGGTTTAATTTCTAGATTTAGTTTTCAAAATTAGGTTAATATTAAAATCAAGCTTAGAAATTAGAGTTTCACATTAGTTATAATTAGGGAGCAATTCGAGTTGAGTTTTCACAATAAATGCCCGATTACTCGAACTGATTGCTCGACCCTTTTAAAATTTATTAATAATTAATATTTTCTTAAAATACTTTAAGTTTAACAATTTAGATAAAATTAGGTTTTAAATTAGTCCTTAACTTTAGAAATTATCAATTTAGGTCCTTAAGCTTTTAAATCTTTTAGAACTCGATATTTTAGATCTTTGACATTTAGTCCCTGAGCTTCGATTAGTGTTTTAACTTTGACATACTTAAATAGGTTAAATAGAACCTCCACTTTTAGTTAAATTTCAATATAGTCTCCTTAATTTAGGGAATAATCTAAGTCGGCCTTCGCGTAAATATTCGAGGGACCATCTCGATTATTGGATTCGATAATTTATTAAAATCAAATAGGATTAATATTAGAGCCTACATTTTTATGTTTGAGCTTCTATGTTCCTTTAATTTCTTAATTTGACACCTTAAGCTAGAAAAAGCCTTTAATTTACCTTAGCTTAATTAGGATTAAATAAAAATTTGTTTGATTGCATTGTTTTTTTAAACCTAAGGCAATGTTCACTTATTAGGGAATTAATAGTATATCTCCCGCAAGTATGCTCAGGGGGTGACTACTGGTAATTCTCGAAATAGGTCGACATCCTTTTCAAAGACTGCATCGTTTTCTAAAAATGAGACAATATTCATTTATTAGGCACGATAGCTGATCTCCAGCATTTATGCTTGGGAGCGAATGCTATCGGTCTTAATAAACGAATACCCTTTTCAACTTTGCATCTGCAATGATTTTCAAATTAAATAAAGATCAAACTCATAATTTCTGATTTTAAATATAGGGCAATCAACTATGTACCAATTTTTGGGCGCTTGTGGGGGTGCTAATCCTTCCCCACGCATAACTGACTCCCGAACCCGATTTTTGGATTTTCGCAGACCTTAAAACTTGGTATTTTGATAAAAATAAAATGTTTTATTAAAATCATCCGGTTTTTATGGTGTCCCAATCGCACCTTAAATGATTGGTGGTGACTCCTCTTATTTCAAAACACTTTTCAAAGAGAAAACCCCCGAGTCGGTATCAGTTTTTTCCCTGGCTGGGCGAAAAATGGTGTCGACAGCTTGGCGACTTCGTTGGGGACGTTTTTTTAACAAATTGAGAGTCGAGCCACGAGTTGGTTACCCTAAATTTATGATTATGAAAATTACGAGTTCGATCTTGTTTAATTTATAGTTCATTATGTTATTTCAAAAGAAAAGTTTTTTTTTCTCTATGATTAATGCTTACACTTCTGTGAATATTTAGGATTGTTGCATATTATATCTCTAAACTCGAGCTCAAACATGGTTTACCTAAGTAGAGAGAAACGTCACACCTCACAAGGAGGATTGGGCTTCCTTGTGTGGGTCTGATAAAGTATCTCTGGAAAGCAATCTAAGTTGCTTGTTTGGATATCAGTTACGAAATATGCTTTTAGAGGTGTGATCCCCTAAGCAAAATCCAATTCGCAAGTCTGTAATAGGCCGGAATCGGAGGCAACCTTAGCAGGTTGTAAAGATGGCTTGGGAACCTTTGCTAGAACCTAACCTCATATAGAAAATTTAGTAAACTTACCCCGCTAGAGCCATGTGGATAACCTGTAAGAACTACATCACATGCGGTTAGGATTATTAATTTTTCTTTGTATGCCATTTTTCAGTCTCAACTTTGAGTCGAATTTATTTATTTTTTCTAAGATTACATTTCTTTGACTAATCATTTCAACTAACTTGATTCTTTTTGTCTTATTTATACTAATATTGATTTTCTTTTGTCTGGTCTTGTTGTATTTTTCATGAACATGACAAAGGTATTGATCCTTTAAATAACTAATCGTTTAGAAGGTTTCTGAAAAACAATGCCCACAACAATGCCTTTCACTGGGATCAAAAGAATTTCAGAGGTGCCCTACGTAGATCTAGTAGTGTCGAAAGAGAGTTTACCTACTTTGGAGACAAGCCATACATATACCTGCTGAGGTAACAAGTTGGATTCAAGAAGATTCAACGCTGAAGCTAATAGTGAAGATCACGAACCAACTTGAAAATTTTCTGAAAGTAGGAGATGAAGTAGAAGTTTTGAAGATGATGCAGTACCCAGATGCTTGCAGGAGCTAGACAACTTACAGATGAACCATATTTTC